AGACCCAATCAGATGGCATCTTCTCCTCATACCCCCAAAGGCAGGAGATTGTAATGGTGCCCTGTCCTCTTACTCCAAAGACAGTACCCCGGTTCTCCATGGAAGAACGTCCTTCCACTTGCTTAACTTTACAAAGAGCTTTCCCATCCTTTATTAGATTCTCATGATGTGAGAGAGATAGGATGCTCGGACCCATTTGAGAACTGAGAACACAAGTTCAGCTTGACTTGTGCAGGATTATGCACCTAATTAGTGGTGCGGCTGGCACTGTCCGAAGCACCCAGGCATTCTGAAGCTGCATCCTGTGCCCCTTCTACCTGCTCCATCTCTAGCTTGGAACTGCCCCAGACAGCCTCGGTGCCTGAGAACTGGCCTCCTCCACTGGGAAGCTGGGCTCACCCCCGGCATCTCGATTCCAACATCATTTAACCCATAGTCGGGGAACGTGAAAGAGGGCTGAGATGAGAAATACGAAGACCTGGGTTCCAATTCTACCTACGTTCTAGCTGTTGGACTCCGGGCCAATCACTTAAACCTCTGTGCACTTCAGTCCACTCTCTAGTGCATATGTTGTTAGAAACTTAATTACCCTTTGTGCTCTGGTTTCCTTCGGCTGGTAGAGGTCTTTCCCTCTAGACCTAAGAGGCAGTTTAGTCTAGGACAGGAGAGGAGAAAGGACAGGATTCCGTCGCTCTAGGGTTATGAGGTCTGTGCTCTGGGTCTCTACTGGTCTGGGCGTGAAGAGGAAGTGGATTTAGACCTCGTAAAAGATGGGAGGATGTGGCGAGTGCTTGGCCTGGAGAACGCTTCTGTAACACACTTCAATACTTTGTTGTTGTTGTTCCTGGAGGTAGAAGACTGCCCCTTTCTGAGTCACCTCCCCTGAAGTCCTGACCAGTGAAGAAGCTCAGATTTCAAAGACCACCCCTGGCACCTTCTAAGTGACTAGGGAAGAGCTACGATTGTCTTAGCTACTGCAGGAACCCCTAGAAAAACGACCCCACTGTGCCTTCGAGAAAATGGCCGGCTGGGGGGTCTAGAAAGAGCTTGGTGTGTTAGTAAGAGCCCTGCATTGAGAACAGGGTAATCCTGCTCCTGATTCCAGCAGTCTTTGTAATTTAACCTCACAGGGCCTCAGTTTCTTTATCAGTAAAAATGGGGAATCAACCCCGTTGCTACGTGCTTTACACAAGTGTTTAGAAAATCCAATGAGATCACGGACATGAAAACACTTGGAAACATTTTTAACATGCTGTCAGAAATGCCAGGTGATTACTAGTATTCGTGTCTAACTGCTAGTGCAGAGCCTCGGTTCTGACTGTGGTCTGACCACCGACCCTGCATTCTACAGCTAATGTGAGGGCCGTAGCTGGAAGGGAGACAAGAATGTGTTGCTACCTAGTTGTGATGTTAGAACGTGTGATCCATGTGGATATGTTTTCTCTTGGAAGGAAATTAAGCATCAATTTGATGTGACTGGAACAGCAGTGTAATGTCTGGCTGGCGTTACAGGCTTGGGCTAGGGAGAGGGGGCAGGCAGGAAGGGGGTTTCATCTAAATTTTAAATCCTTGCCAGGGCGGAACCACTAAGGGGACACCCACTGAATCAGAACGTGCTCCCTGGAAGGCGGTACCACTCAGGATTAAGTCCTACCTGTAATGCCTTCCTTTTCCCTGTTTACTCCTCTTTTTTTTTTTTTTTTTTTTTTGTGAGGCAATTGGGGTTAAGTGACTTGCCCAAAGTCACACAGCCAGTATGTTTACTCCTCTTAAAAGCCATATTTCTGCCCAAATTTCCCTTCCTTCCCTGAATGGGCCTGGGATTTGAGGGAAGAGGACTTTGGGAAGGGAGGGGAGGAAAGAGGAGGGGAGGGGAGGGAGATGGTCTTCACATTAGAGATACAAATACAAAATGAAAGCCTTCAAAGATGTTGCATTCTATTTCTTTTTCCTTTTAAATGTTTGATTGGTGCTTTTTTGTATCACTATCACTTTCCAGTGACATACACTGCCCCCCCCCAATAAATCCATTCTGGTTCCAAATAAGAAAATCAAACAACTTAGGAGCTGTGTCTAAAAAATACTCGCTTCATCCTGTAACTGGTTCTGAACATAAACAAGGCTCTGTAGGGCAATTAATTCCCCCCACCTTTCTGGAGAGGCAGGAGCCCTTCACCTTAAGTGAATGCAAAGTAATTTGAGAAGGGAATGGGCAAGAAGGATTGGGAGAGGAGGAGATAGCATCTGAGTTCAACCCAGAAGTTCTGAAACTGCCCATGAAGCCATCTTTAATGTGTTATCTAGTACTCCCCCACCCACCTCCCTAGGGGGAGTTCACATCTCATCCGGGGAGTATGATCAATGCGTATCAACCAAGGTGTTTATACCTTATGTAAGGAGACGGCTTCAAATGAAGGAACACCCTTTAATCTTACTAACCTTGACTGGACTCTGTTTAGACACTGCCTTGGAGGAGACAGTGCCCAGGACTAGGGAGGTGACCTCCCATTGTACTCCATTCTAGTCAGACCCACATCTGAGTGACCTGTTTTAGAAAGGACTGAGAACTTGAGGAGAGTGCATTGTACTAGCAAGTGTTAAGTCTAACTCAGAGGAAGGTGTTTAGCTTGTAAAAGATGAGACAAAAGGACACATGGGAGCTGTCTTCAGGTATTTGAAAGGCTGCTCCATTGAAATAGAATTCGGCTTGTTCTTCTTGACCCAGGTGGGGCAGGAGGGTTTGGAAGTTGGCAGAGAAACAATGGTAAGCGTGACATAAGGAATAACTACCTATTCTAGGCCAGGAGTGATTGAGGACGATCTCTGGTGGTTAAGGTTCAGAATAGGAGGGAAATGTTAGACCGTCTAACAGTTAAGAAAAGGAAATTTATTTAGCCATAGCAAGAAAGGCAGATTCAGCAGAGACACACCAGCAGTGGCTTCCCTTGGGTACCATTACTCTAGCCTCTCATTTTTCAAGGAGGGGCCCCTGACTCCTCCCTCACTACCTTTTGTACTTTGATAACCAGAAAACCACATCAGTAGTTTGAACATTAGTTCTCTAGACCAGGAAAGGCTTAGGGGCAGATTCAGTATCTTTTAAAGAAACACGAGGCTAATTGTGTGGGGTAGATGTTGCTACCTAACAATTAACACTATTCAAAGGGATAATCAACTCTCTTGGGAGTTAGAGGGTTCTCCTCAATTTTGGGGTTGTATTGGCATTTGTGTGTAATGCCTCTGAGGCCCATTCCATCGCTGATATTTCATCTGTCCATCCATGCCCGATTCCTTTTCTCACACCAAGAGCTACCATCTTTCAGCTCCCAGAGCTGATGAGTCCCAAAGGGAACAAGCATTTATCAAGTGCCTGCTTTGTGTCTAAGCACTTTACAAATGCGATCTCATTTGATCCATTGTATGGCTCCTCCAAGATGGAGACCCTGGTCGCCTTTATGGGAGCCAGCTATGCTGAGTGAATCCAATGTGACCTGTAGTCACTACTACTAAAAGAACACAATACCTAGGACCTGAGGTTTTCCACAGACCTCTCAATCAGAGCTAAAAACTGCCCTACGATTTTTGGGACACTTTTTATGAACATCTCCTCTGATCAAACGTAAACTTCTCGAGGCCTGAGAATGCTTCATGTGACTTTGTATGCCGAGCACCACCTAGCTCAGTCCCTACCCCCCATAAACTGCTCAGTTCTGGAAAAAAGCATAAACCAAGCCTAACTAGACTATCTCAAGTGCCATCTGCCCTCTTTGGCTTGGGTTTATATTTCTCAAAGTAAAAGCCTTTTAGTCCCAATTGCAGCTATTGGCGTTGCCTGAATACCTGAGGACTGTAATACTTCCATGATACCTTTAATGTCCATCCTACTGGAGGGAAGAAGCATTTGGGGGAAAGGGAAGGGAACAAGCATTTATTAAGCGTCTACTGTATGCCTGGCCCTGTGCCAAGTGCTTTACAAATATGATCTCATTTGACTTGTAGACCAAGGGTCATGCGCCCTCTTCTCAGGGATGGAACAGCAGTGGGCCAGCATCCTGTCTAGCCTACTTCATAGCTCTTCTGTTTGTACAGGGCTTGTGGTTAACAAAGCACTTTGATATACCATGGACTCATTTGGTCTTTAAAACAACCCTGTAAGTTAATTAGGACAGGTAGAGTGTTGGATTTTAAATCAGGAGGACTCTATTTCAAATCCTGCCTCCAACATTTGCTAGCTGTGTGACCTTGGGCAAGTCAACCTCTGTTTGCCTCAGTTTCCTCATCTGGAAAATGGGGGTCATAATATCACCTACCTTTCAGGGTTGTTGTAAGGATCAAATGAAATCATATATGTAAAACACCTTGCAAACTTTAAAAGCATTTTACAAATACTAGCTATTATTATCATCAAAGAAATTAAGTGACTTGCCCACAGTCAGGGATGATAAGTAACCATTAAACTCAGGTAATACCAATAAAAATAACTTTTGTATAGTATTACTATGTACCAGGCACTGTGCTAAGCACTTTCCAAATATTATCTTATTTGATCCTAACAGCAATCCTGGGAGGTAGGTACTATTGCTAGCTCCATTTTATAGATAAGGAAACTGAGGCATGCAGAGATTAAGTGACTTGCCCCAGAATCATACAGCTAGTAAGTATCTGAGACTGGATTTGAACTCCTGGCACTTTATTTACATAGGGGCAGAGTCCAAGACCTCATGGACATAGAATAAGTCTAGAAACTTTGTTCTAGAGTTTTTGCAGTAGCCTGGGCCAATCAGTTCTCTTAGGGGTCAGATATCCAACCTAGGAAGTCCCAAGTCTGTTTGTCCTCTGGGTCTTACAAATGTTAAGCCTGCTGTCTGGAGCTCAGGCTGAGGCCCTGTATGCCTGGTCCTTCCATTACTTGTTTTCCCACCTCCCTCCACCTTGTACCCACAGCACAACATTTTTTTTAAATTGCATTTATTTACAAAGTTTTTTTTGAGACTGAAAGAGAGAGTAGAGGGATTGGATGCAGAGAGGATAGGCGAAGGTAGGTCTGGGAGAAAGGACGACATAAAGCTGACAGAAGGTGGGCCTTCAGCTTGAAGGGGTCTGGAACCTCGGCCCTCCCTTGGGCCTCCGCTGAGTGTGGGAACCGGCACGGAGAGCAGGGGATCGGCGGGTTGCCAACAGACCAGCCAGAAGTAGTGCGTAGAGCTTAGCTCCTCCTAGCATCCCCAGGTAGCAATACAGAGCAAAAGTGAGGGTCCACTCCAGCTGGGCTGTTGGGGAGAGAGTCACAGAATCAAAGACAGAGGCCACAGGACTCCCCCACCCCACCTTAGGGATCAGATAACTCTTAGCACCCCGGGAGGAAAGAGGTGAAAAGGAAGGGTCTGATGGAGTAACATACCTCTGACAAGTTTGGGGTACTTGTCACTTTTCCAAGGACTTTCTTATCTTAATAGTAGTCTCTAGCTCACATGGTTATTGCAAGGATCAAATGAGATATTTGTAAAACATTTAGCACAGTGCCTGCACATAGTCAACGTTATATAAATGTTAGCTGCTATTATTATTATCAGGTATTATCTCATTTCCCCTTCACAATAACCTTGTAAGAAGAGCAGAGAAGTGACATTATCCCTTTTTTATAGATGGGAAAACTGAGGCCTAGAGAGGTGAGTGACCTGCCCAAGGTCATACAAGTATTTAAGGGAAAAAACTGAGACCAGAACCCTGTACTCCTCACTGTCACTTAGGAAAGACTTTGAGGTGTGAATGGTCATGAGATGACAGAAAGTTCAAAGTGAGAAAGTCCTGGCTTCACAGACTGGGAGGTCAGAGGTGACTGGCTGGGGAGACCATACCTAGTATATTCTGGTCATTTTCCTGACCCCCATTCCAGGGCTCTGGAAGAGAAGTGGGAAGAACAGTCCTGTTAATAGATGAGTACACTGTACGCTGTACACTCTCTTATCTCCCCGCCCTCTCTCACTTCTTTGGTGATTCTGCAGTCTTTGTCTCAAAAAGAAATTAAATGCTTATTCATCATCATAAAATATAAGCTCAATGAGGGCAGGAACTGTTGGTTTTGTTTTGGTTCTTCAGCCCCTGCCTACCATAGTGCCTTACACATAGTAGGTGCTTAATAAAGGTCTGTTCTGTTAAACTGAATGACTTTTGACCCTCTGGTAGACCAGGGATTCATTTGCAAGGTTAACTAAGGGAGGACCCTAAGTTGGGGCAGCTCTTTCCCTCTGACTCAGCAGAAAGGTTGGGCCTTTCCCAGGAAGTTGTTGGTACCAAGATAGGGCATGGGCACTAGCAGGGCTACCCAGCAGCTGGCAGAGGATCTGTGGGTTTCTCTGTGAGTTTGGTGAGAGGAAGGATGACCAGGGAGTACAATACCTGCATCCCAGAAACACTTAGCCTGCTTCTTGGAAGGAGGCAGCCTCAGTGTGGCAACTGAGGTCCCGCTCTCGTGGTCGGCCTTGCAGACGACAGTGCCTCCCAGGGTCCTGTTGGACAGATGCAGTGTGCTGACCACAGTGTCACCCATGTCCTCCATCAGGCTCTCCTCAGCTCCCCCCTTGTGGAGCTGGCTCTCCACAGCCCAGGAGAGCCTCAGCGGGGCAGGCTGGTGCCCCATGGCCACACACAGTATGGGAGATCCAGGGCCTGAAGTTAGCAGGGTCAGCTGAGGAGGATGAGGAACCAGAGGCAACCTCTCAGCTGCAGAGTAGACAGAGAAGAGGAAGAAATCACCATGGAAACGAGATCTCCGAGCCTCTCCTGGTGCCCCGACCCGGGTGCCTAACTCACTCCCTTTACCTCCTGGGCCCTCTCCATCCCCAGTGTTGTAGCTACTCCATCTTCCCAACCCTGCGCTCCTCCCCAGGATGGACCTCTCTCCAGCACTTCTACTCCCCATCATCCCTGACTCCTCACCTGGCCCTTCCCAACTCCCCCATCTTCCCTCAAATTTGTTTCACTTTCCCCCCAGCCCTCTATCAACACATACTTGAGCGCCTACTTCCTTTGAGACATTATAACCAGCCCCCTGAATCTTTTCCCCAAGGTTTCTCAGCCCCCAAGCTCTCATCTACGTGTTTTCTTTCCACAATCTGTCGCTCTTTAAAACTGCCTAACCTAGGGTCTTACCATGATAGAGGAACCAAGTGCCTTCTCCAAAGATGTACTGGCCGGCATACCACAGAGCACAATAGTAAATGCCCACATCTCCAGGGCCGGCGTTGCCCACAGTGAGGCGGACGCTGTTCTTTTCAAGGTCTAGCTCAGCCAGGAAGCGTGGGGTCACACCAGAACCGTAGGTTGGGGCAGCTCCTTCCCTCTGACTCAGCAGAAAGGTCGGGCTTTTCCCAGGAAGTTGTTGGTACCAGGATAGGACGTGGGCTCTAGCAGGGCTACCCAGCACCTGGCAGAGAATCTGTGGGTTTCCCTGTCCGTTGTCCACAGAGGGTTGGGGCTGGAACAAGGAAGGTGGAGGAGTAGCCTGGAAAGCTAAGAGAGACAAAGAATACCGAGGCTGGGGGCCCAGGGGAAATATCACCCACAGGCATCTCCCCAGCCCCTACTGTGTGCACAGCTTGATGCCAACGGTCCAGGGGATTGCAAAAGAATCATTAATATCAATTGGCTTTTGATCTCCCCTCATTTTCTTTGACTTCTCTGCACTGTTTAACCCAATTATCTTGTTCTTCCTTGTGTTTAGCTTCCATGACATTGAACTATCCTTTTTTTCTTCCGCCTTTCCTCCTCATCCTCCTCTTGGCTTCTGTGCCTAGTCTTCTCCCAGCACTGGATGCCCTCCCCCCAAATCTGAGTCCTTACTCCTCTTCCCTTTGTTCCATAGCCTTGATCATCTGATGTACTAACAGCTTCAACAATCACCTCTTTGCTGATACAATAATAGCTAGTATTTATATGGTGCTTTAAGGTTTTTGAGACTCATTTGAGCCTCACAACAACCCTGGAAGGTAGGTTTTATTATTTCCCCCATTTTTCACATAGGGAAACTGAGGCAAACAGTGACTTGCCCAGGGTCACCCAGCTAGTTAGTATCTGAGACCGGATTTGAACTCAGATCTTCCTGACTCCAGGCATAACACTCTATCCACTATACTACCTCAAACTCAAACACAAATTCAAAATTGGGGTTGAACAGGAGTTTAAAGGAATTTTCCAACCCAAAATCCTTATCCCAAAATGTTGACTTCTTGCTGAACATTTCCACTACCCCATGAAACTTGGCATGTCCAAAGTCAAACTCAACATAGGCTGCCCCTCCAAGCACCACCATTTTCCTATTCTCCCAGGCTAGACTCCTTCCTCTTTTTCATTCCCCATATCCATGGAGTTGAATTCCATCCCCCTATTAATTCAGCCTGCACTACTCTCCTGAATTTTTATTGTCGGTACCATTCACTTTAACCCTTAATAGGGTGCTAACTGTTCCCCTCCAAGGACCTAAGCATCTTACCCCCTAGTTCCAGATCACCCCCACCCCCCCCAAAAAACACAAAAAACCATAGCCATTTCCTGTTCAATGTAGCATTGGTCAGGTTGGAGACCCTGGGGAGGGGAGGGCAGTAGGGGGAGGGGGAATAGAAGGGTCTCTTATTTCTGTGGTAGAAAAATGGGGATCCCTATGCTGTGCCTTAAAATTCCAACCCCATCCATCATGAAAATCTCTGGACTTTCTGTTACGATCATAGAGCTGGAAAGGGGGACCTTAGGGTCATTTAGTCCAAATATTTTACATACTAAAAACAACAAATGTCTCCAAGAAGTGAGTTTCCCAAAGCCACCCAGGTGGTAAGTTGTCCCTAGTTGAAAGAGGCCCCTTCTTTCATGGGACGCCCCGCCGCCCCAGGAATTGGCCTTTATTTAAGAGCTGTTACTCTTGGCCCAGTTGCCCCATCCGTCCTCACCCCGCCAAAAAAACCAAATCAACAGGAATGGGAGGAAGAGTATGAAAGGCAAAGGGGCTCACCATGGAGGGAAGACAGCAGCAGGCCGAGAAGGAGAGTCATTGCGGACTATTCACAACTTCTTTTAACTGCCTCTTTCTGTCTTCTGTTGCGCAGCGGGTTGTGGGGGGGGGGGGGGGGGGAGCAATGATAGTCACTTCCTGCTCTTGGTGAGTGGGGAGTGGAGAATGGGGTACAAGTGCATCTGACTCTTGGGGCTCACCTACACATCCAGGCCCTACAGCACTGGGAGAGGAGGAGCTAGGGTTCAGTTAGATCAGACGGCAGGGAGAGCCCTTGAACGGGGAAAGGGAAGTCCCTAACCACCCCCCATGGAAACCCCCTGATCTGGGGTTTTGAGGGGGATAAGACATTGAGGTTCTGGGTTGAAATCTCCCAAGTCTGAGGCCAAGGATGGGGTAATTTGTTGATTTTGAGGTTAAGCTCTAGGAGCAAAGAAGAAAAGGGATGAATGGGCCCTAGAGCTGGTATTAAGACCCTACAGCAGGAGGGGATGTTGAAGGAGGCAGTATGGTCCAGTGGAGAGAGCCCTAGCTTCGGAATCAGAGGTCCAGACTTCAAATCCCACCTGTGGTGCTTATTAGCAAGGTGACCGTGGCCAAGTTGCTTAACCTACTACCGGGACCTCAGTTTCCTCATCTGTAGAAATGAGATTGGACTAGATCAGAGTGGGGAACCTGCAACCTCAAGGCCACATGTGGCCCTCTAAGTCCTCCAGAACAGCCTTTTGACTGAACCCAAACTTCACAGAACAAATCCCCTTAATGAAAGAATTTGTTCTGTAAAACTTGGACTCAGCCAAAAGGACACACCCAAGGACCTAAAATACCATAGGTTCCCCACCCCTGGATGAGATGGTCCTTGAAGTCTCTCAGTTCTAGAGTTAGAATCTTTCCCAAGCATCTCTGGCTTCATTCCAAAGGCAATGCTTACCCCTTTTCCTCCATCTCTTACTCTATCATTATTGAACTCACTAGCCAACTTGGCAGATGGGTAAAGAGTAATGAAGCTCCCTCACTCCTGACCGACCAGAGGGTCCCCATCCTCACCCCCAAAGCTTTATTTTACCCATATCCTGGGCTGTGTGTTTTTGTAGGTATGGGCCAAGCTTCAGCCAGCGCGCGCGCACACACACACACACACACACATATCACTAGAGTCACTAAACTTTAGGATATCCTCAGACTGGAGAGAATGTGTGAGTGTCCTTCAGGGGCATCATCGCACCTAGAAGGAATGGGGAGCTTTGCATGCTGGTCACAGGGAAGGCAGGGTCCCTCTCTGGGGTTCTCTCCAAAACCTTATGTTCCATAACCCTTCCCAGATGGCTTTCTCAGGGGGCATTTCTCTTTTGCAAGGAAAAATGGGAAGGAGGCTCAGGTCCAAGGAATGTGGTTGCTCTTTTAGGCAACTGCACCATCAGTCCCAGGCATGATATGATTGGGGATGCCAACATCTGAAAGGAAAAAGACCAGCTGTTACTCATCACTAGCTCCTACATAATCAGCCCTGAGCATTGTGCCCAATATCCTGGCACGGAGAAACTTAGCCAGTCCACAGCCTTTTTAAAAATTATTTTTGTATTATGAACTTAACAATCATCAGTAAGTACAAATAATCCAATTTAAAAGAACAAAAAAAGAGGATTATATATGAACCTGCGAGTTTCAGTTATGTAGTCTGTTTTTCAAAGTATATATTGAGCTGGGCATGATATCAGGCCCCTGTAATCCCAGCAAGGGATTGAGCTTGGAAGTTCTGAGCTTTTGGGGGCTCAGTCAATCAGGCATCTACACGAAGTCTGGCATCAATATGGTGAGCTCCTAGGAACTGGGAACCACCAGGTTTCCCAAGGATGGGTGAAAAAGCCCAAGTTGGAAATGGAGAAGGCCAAAGCTCCTGGGCCAATTGGAATAGGAATGAGCTTGTGAGTATACCCCTTGGACTGGCCTGGGCAAGATAGGAAAACCCAGTCTTAAAAACAATAAATAAACAAAGCATATATTATTTAAACAAGGTGGTAACAAAATTACTCTGTCTCCTTCCTAACTTCTTTTTGCCTTCTATTTATTTTTAAATGTTTTACTGATCCTCTTCTCTCTCTCTCTCTCTCTCAAATGCAAGTGGTTGCCAAGGCCTGTCTATCTCACCTTTGCACATCTCTTGAATACGCCTCCTTCTCTCTTCTGACACTACCCCCACTCTGGTGCAGACCTTCATCACCTCATGCCTGGACTATTGCAATAGCAGCTGGACGGTCTGCCTGCCTCACATCTCTCCCTACTCACCTCCCCCACTTCCTGAGACAGTAAGCAATTTGTTATAGTTTATACATATTCAATCTTGTAAAACATATTACCATATTTGTTATGTTGTGAAAGAAGACACAGGCCCAAAGTGGGGGGGGGAACCTCAAAAATAAATACGGAAAGTGAAAAATAGTATGATCTGCATTCCTACTCTGTCAGTTCTTTCTCTGGAGGTGGATAGCATTTTTCATGATGAGTCCTTTGAAGTTGTCTTGGATGATCGTATTGCTGAAAATAGCTAAGTCATTCACAGTTGATCATCATATAATATTGCTGTTACTGTGTACAATGTTCTTCTCACTTCACTTTGCTTTAGCTCATATAAATCTTTCTGGGTTTTTCTGAAATCTGCCTTTCTTATAGCACAATAGAATTCCATTGCAATTATATGCCACAACTTGTTCAGCCATTCCCCCACTGATGGGCATCCCCTCCGTTTCCAATTCTTTGCCACTTTTGTGTAGTTTTCATTTATACTTTCTTAACATGTAGTACTGATGGTTTTTGTTTGGTCATGGTTTCTAGGGAGTCTGATGATTCTTAAATTCTATCTCCTCAATCTGTATTTCAGTTGCTTGTTTTTTTATAATACCTACTGTATATTTTTTCAATATTTTATCTTTTTCCAAATATTTCTGATCGTCTCATGGAGTCTTTGATTCATTGGCATTGCTCCATTATATTTTTATGGACTCTTACTTTGATAAGGTTTTCAGTCTTCTGTTCTAATCTGTTCTTCCAACTTTTTTTTTTCCTTCAGAGCCCTTGTTTCAGTTCTAATTTTATTTTTAATATCTTGCTTTGAAATGAAGCATTTAACTATTCTTGTAGTTCTTATGGCCAAGCCACTTTTTCCTCTGTGGCTCTATTAATATTTGTTGTAAGATGCCCTTTCTGGGTTTCCCTATGTGGCTTCTCTTTATCCATGGTGTTCAGGTTTGCTTTTGTTTTCTTTCCCTTTTCCTGAGTTCTCAGGCTTCTGGTTCATTTACCACCTTTACGGGCAGCTCCTCTCATTCAACCTCTCTCCTAGCCACTGTGGCCTTCTGACCATTTTTTTTCTTTCCATTTCTAGATTGAATGGAGGTTCTTATTTCTTGGTTTTTTTTTTTCTTTGGTTGTTCGTTTGTTTATTCTTGTTTCATCTGGGGTCTTCTTTAGACCTTTGCTGGAACGTGTGTAGGAGAACTGGATCTCTATACATCCCTTCATGCTGTCATCTTAACAGGAAGTATGGGATGAATGTTTAATCTCCATGGCGTGGTATTATGGGGCAAAGGCCAGGGTTGTTGGGCCTTTACCACTTGACTGCTCTCCAGGACTAAATGGGAGTAGTCCATGGAAGGTGAGGGTAGGGGGAAAAGCAAAGGAAGAGGAAAAGACCATGCTGGGTCTTTGGATGATCAAATGTTGGCTCCTCCAGGTTGGGGTTGGGAGTCAGGAAGAAGGTGTCTCCTCATTGGTGGGGGCAAGCATGAGAGGGAGAAGCAGGAAGAAAGTCTAAGCTCTTGGGACTAAATCCTTACTGGGGTCAACTCTTTACCACATCTGGGTGGTTCAGGGCCCGTACGTTCTTTTACCTCTCTTTACTGGCGACATTTTGTTTTCAATGCATGTGTCTCACTGGTAGGAAAAGCATACTCCATATGTATATGAAGTCTTGTTTTTTTTTTTTCCTTTTCACTTGATTTGCTATGTTGTTTGTTTTCAAGGCCTTGGTCTAATTGCCCTCTGGTTTGCTAGCAAAAGTAAATACGTTGGTGCCAATTTGTGAGCTATGATTTTGAATGTGTTCTGATCTACAGAGTCCTTCAAATATATGGTGGCTTTTCTGAGGCCCTACATGTCGGGAAGGGGACCTCAAGCATTTCACAGAACGCAAAGAAAATTGAGGAAGGAGAGAGCAGTGACAATTTCTGGAGGGTCAGGAGTTGCCAAGAGGCTAACAATCCACCAAAGGAGACTGAAAGGAATGGTCCGACACCAGGTAGGAGAACCAGGTAGGAGGAACCTCCCAAGGAGGAAGCAGTGTCTATGAAAGAGGAGAAGGTGTTCAGGAAGGAAGCAGATTAGACGCATGTGCTGGGGGCTCTCCCCTAGTGGGGGGGACCCGATGTAGTGTAGACAGATCTCAATACTTATACTTGGGACTACTGAGCTGTGGCCCTGACAATGAGGGGTAACAACAACAGTGAGACAAGTTTGATTCATGACCGGAACATGGGTGTGGGAACACCTGGTGCTAGTCAAAGCAATACAATAATTTCGTGATTTCGCCAGAGGGTGAGATCGAAAAGAATTGTTATTATGCCAAGCTCTGGGCATAGCCTACTTGCTGGGCCTTAGAACTGGAAAACCTGGTGTCTCCTAATATCTTGACACCCCTATATTCTCAATAAAAGTAGATAGGAAGGACTTCTGCCAAGGAGCAATAATGGTAGTGTCAAACTGGAACTAGAACCTTCAGAAGAGAAAAAGAAAGTTTCTGGAACAGATGTTGAGCAGAGTGGGTTAGAGAATCAATCAAGTAGAGAGTAGGGTGTTTCAGAGGTAGACAAACTAGGGTGTAGAATTATAGAATGTCAGTGCTAAGAGCTCCAATCTCTCATTTACAAACGAGGCCCTGAAGGACCCTCATATGATTTAGGTCTTGCGTAGATCAACTTAGGCCCTTGTTTAGGGCTCGAGTAATCTTGTCCAGCCCCCTCTCACTTTTTTGTCTTTGTATTATCAGCACCCAACACAGTGATTTGATCATAGTAGTACTTAAGAAATATTTGTTGAACT